CATTCACTATAATATTATAATATTGTCTCCAAATGATTCAATTCACTGCTATTTTCAATGCATTTTCAACGCAAACACTACTGAGAGTACAACAGAATCGCTAATATTTAGCAAAAACACAGTATTCAATGGTATTTGCCGTACAATAAGATTACAATCGCTAACAATATTAACAATTCATTCAATTCATGGCATTCATGGCATTCACACGATTCCCACTTCGCATACATTTTCTCTATTTATAAAACTTAAAAATCAATTTCATTACTATTTCTAAAATATTATAAATGCATTCATCGGAAGAATATTTATAATTACATTATAAAACCATTACCAATAATAGTAGAGATTTTCGCTAAAAGCATTGCTATATATTTCTATCTACATATTTGAAAATGTTTTTTTTAAATTAAACATTAATAATTTTCAAAATATAATAACTATAGCATGGTCAATTGGAAATTACATTTGACATAAATATTTCCATAATAACTTAATGATTAAATATGCAAAAAGCACCATGCTCACAATCAATAAATGATTAATATCTCAACATCTGAGTAATTCTTGACTTCAATTCTTGAATATTCATATTCTGGAGTTGTGTTCACTAGTTTACAGTTAGACTACAATTCAGGCGAAAGGTATTTATTCAATATATTTACAAACTTAATACTCAAACACTGGACACAAGTCTATGTCAATTAAATCACAAGTCATATTAATTATATACACATAGATTAAAATAAATACAATATATTTAGACTGTAGATTAAATATATATTAATATTTAATCCATTAGTTTATACGCAAACATATACTCAATCATGTGATGCAATGCACATAATTTCCCGACTTTTCCCGACTCGTCCCGACCCCAACTTATACAACTCCCGAACTCTATTGTAATCGTAAACATGTTTAACGATTTACTTTACTTTTCTAAATTATAATTTATAAATCAAGTGTTAATTATTTATTAAAGATTATTAAATAAGTGATAAGTGAGACAATTATTAATATAAACCAAGTTTTAATCCAATTCTTAACCCGTTTTAAGTTTTCGGGATTTTGAATGCAAAATAATGAGCCATTCGTTTAGTCTATTGGAGTCATTGGTGTATAAATAACGCGCCGAATGTGTGCCTAATATTAACCCCTTTTGTATAGAAAGTGATATAGAGTTAGGAAATGATTGGCAGACGTATTGACTGCACATTCAATTGGTGTCTATTTTGTGAGAAGTGATTGTTTACATGAGTTGTGGTCAGTGTTTGTGCGAAGGCTACCTAGTCTGTTATCTCTCTGGCAGCTACTGCTCACGCGAGCTGCACTTCCTGAAGCACCTACACAACTCCCTACTTTTGCTCTGTGACTAGAGCTCCAATGCCAAGCGCGTCTTCACATACTTACTGTTTGAGTCCTACAGAAACTGTTTGATTGGTTTCGCAGATAATTGTCTTTGCGATCATAACTTTGATAATCAACTCGTGTTCAACCACTTGGAGGACGAGTACAAAATTCTTCGCGCCGAAGATTGCCGTCTGAACGACACCACCGATGACCACATGATGAGTACTGTGGCGTTCAATAAGAGCCAAAGTGTGTCCAACAGTACCATCGATAAGACAATTGAGTTTATTAGTGACCAAAATGGCGGCGATTCCCAGCCGATGGTCGCCGATGACAATGATTTAAATTACAGTGAGTTTTGCCATTAGTTTTAACCATTGATTTGACTATCAATTGATTTTTGGGTCAATTTATTTGCAGATAATTTATTATTACATAAATTCAGTAAACGTTTGAATACATTGACCGCCGATGAAGACTATAAACTCATGTGTTTGAAGACAAACGCAAACACCGATTGTCGACAGTTTAGCTGCAAATGGTTTAAATGTGGACTCAGTTTTGTTTCAGAGATCAGTCTTTCGCAACACATGAAAGCCATTCATTTCAAGACTACTGACAATTGGGATAATTTGCCACAAGTTCTTCAATCAGACGATGAGATTATTATTGCCTCCGAAGATTGCATTCAAAGCGACAACACATCCGCCATGAAGTCGAGACCAATTGTGCGACCGCTTCATCGACCCATTCCTCGACCAGAGTATACGTGCGATTGGATCGGATGTGAACTCGTTTTCAGCACTAATTTCGAGCTGAGAAGACATCAGAGTTACGTCCATAAGAGTCGCGAACAGACAGCGCACACGTCATCGACAGTGCGACGGGTGGAGAGGTTTATGGGATTCAAGCCGTTAACGATCCATACGTTAGACCACTCTTTAACCAAAGCGAGCGCTAAAGAAGAGGACGAGACGGAGAAGGAGTTTAAATGTGATTTGTGTGACAAAAGCTATTCTCGCAAAAACGGTCTCTTATATCACCAAAATGTTGACCACAATTGCGGCGATCGATCGGTTCGTATGTTTTATTGCGATGATTGCGAGTATAGGACACAGAACTCGTGTCATATGAAGAGACACGTGATTAGGAAACACACTATTGATAAGCCATATAAATGCCAATTAGAGAGCTGTCGGTATGTTGTCAGACAATTCGCAACACTCGAACAGTTCAAGAGTCACCAAATGAAGATCCATTCCGTCACAGACCCGGACTATGTGCCGTTCGACTAGACTTTCACTCATTCAATACTCACCAAATTGCTCATCATTTCTCCAATCATTGCATATTTTAAATGCCAATATATTTGTGTATATTTTAAGATTTATTATGACATTATTTTCATTTTTAGTTTTATTTTTCCGTTTGTAATATAAACCTAATTAACACTTAAGTTAAATAAAATGAATTCGGCATTAATTGTTTACATCATTTATACTAACACTTGTAATAAAGTGATCGACTCTTAGGATCACTATCTTGTGTGCGCCGAATGTGGCCTCCAATGGTCTCACAGTCTGTGATGGGTTTGTATAACGGGTTTAGGTTTAAGAGGGGTTTCAGTCCTCCAAAAAGAAATAGTTTCCGCTATTCTTCTGTTCGATATCTTTAATTGAATTCAATTTATTAATTCTTGGCCTAAAGTTTGTCGCATCTCTTCTCAAAGTGATGCTCAATTGCTTCAAGAATTTATTCATTCCGCTCAACAGTGTCTGCGGACTCGTGGCCACCGTCTTGACCGATGGCTGGCCCTCAAACACAATGACCCGATCGGCCAGATATGTGGCCATAAGGAAATCGTGTTCGACTATAAACCCGGTTTTCTTGGCGTGAAGTAGGAATCGTTTGATGACTTTCGAGGCGACCAAACGCTGTTCGCAATCCAAATAAGCCGACGGCTCGTCAATGAGGTAAACGTCCGCCGGTTTACCCAAACACAGCACGAGTGCCACTCTTTGGAGTTCTCCACCCGAAAGGTTCATCACTTCCTGGTCTAAGATATTCTCGATCTGAAGAGGTTTCACGACCTCTGCCTGAAACTGAGGGTCAATGACGGCGTCGCGGATCTTATCGAACAACAGTTTACTAACAGTTCCCTTAAAAACGGGGCTAATTTTCTGGGGCTTATAACTGATGTTAAGCACCGGTACGACACTCTGTCCGCCATCGGGTGTTAGTTGTCCGGCAAGTAATCGGATAAATGTTGTTTTTCCGGTCCCGTTCTCTCCCAACAGCACAATAATCTCTGAGTGGGTATAAGTGCCCGATTGGACCGTCAACTCAAATGCCGGACCCAATTGCTTGACCATTGATGGGTACTCGTGTGCACGCAATCGCTTCATATCGATATCAGTGGCCGTTTCCGACACTTTGAATGTAAGCGCCGAATCTCTGAACCGCAAGTTCTCCGTCGGATAGTAACCGTCGAGGAATATATTGATGCCCTTTCGCACAGATATAGGGAGTGTTACGACACCATAAGCTCCGGGAATGCCATACAGACAGCAGATATAGTCCGACAAATAGTCCAAAACCGATAAGTCGTGTTCGACTACCACTACATATTTGTCCGCTCGGATCAGCTCTCGTATGGCTTCGGCCGCCTTAAGTCTCTGCTTGACGTCCAGATAACTGGAGGGCTCGTCGAAGAGGTATATGTCAGCCCTCTGTACGCAAACCATTGCGATCGCAAACCGCTGTAATTCCCCACCACTTAAGTCACACACATTTCGGCCGCAAATGTTTTCCGAGAGATCCAATACATCGCATACGGAATGCTTATTATCTCTTTCGTTGTTACTGTCGAGTAGTGTTGAGACCACTCCCGACACAACTCTCGGTATTTGATCCACATATTGGATCTTCATTACGGACTTCATGTGATCCTCAAGTATTCGCGTGAAAAAGTTGTGAAGTTCTGAGCCTTTAAAATATTTCAATATTTCTGACCACTCGGGAGCGTCTGAACCGTAACGACCTTTTCATGGTCCAAATATAATCGTAAAAATTAAATAAAATTATTTCAAACTTTTAATGTCTATTTGAGACCTAAATTTGGTTTCAATTTCCCTGATAATATGTTAAGAGCCGTGGATTTGCCGATTCCGTTGGTGCCGACCAAACCCAACACCTGCCCGGGTCTGGGAGTCGGCAATCGATGCAATTTAAACGAGTTTTCTCCGTAACGATGAGTTGTATCTCGGCTTAGATTTGAGGGCAAATTAATTATATTGATGGCATTGAAGGGACACTTCTTCACACAAATACCACATCCAATGCATAGGCTTTCGCTAATTCTGGCCACAGTATCACTCGGTGTGACTTCAATACACAACTTTCCCATCCGTACGACTGGACACGACTTCTTGCACTCCTGTCGACACCGATTGGGTCGACACTTGTCTGCACTCACAATCGCTATTCTCGTCAACTTGTCTTTAGTAGCCATTTGTGTCATCACTTACTTCTATACCAAATAATTAGCCACAGATTCAAACAATTAGTATTAATAAAAATAGTTAATTTGACAAACAATTTGAATGAGAATAAGTAGTAAAACAAGTTTATATGAAATACTCTGTAATTCGTGAACTAAACGTTATGCTTATCGGATTGCATACAACTTTCGTAACTATAGTATTATAAGTTATAATTTATAACTTGATACAACTTTTTAATCAAATAAAAAGTAAAATAAAAGTTTTGATTTAAAAGTATAGCATTTATTTTAATAATAATTAATTAATTAATTAGCAAATTATTTTTAATTAAAAATTATATAAAAGACTTAAGATTTTTAAGTTAAGAATACTTGTAATTACTGTTACGTCAAAAGTTTGCAAAAGTTTCAAAGTTTTGATGAGATTTCGAAACAAGTGTTTCATTGAAAATATTTATTCATTTGAATCAAAAATAAATATATTTTTATGAATTTTTATAAAACTATTAGAGAATTATAAAATTTAAATACAAAATGTTTCAAAATGTTTTACAACTAATTGTAGTTTAAATTCAATTTATTAAATCAATTAATGATAAACTCTTTGATTCAATTGAAAAAAAAACATTTTATTTATGAAAATTGGTGTCAAATGTGTCGACATTTCATTTGTTATAACAATTTCTTTACTGAATTGACTATTGGGTCGGTCTTAGTGTCCGCTCCGGGAGTGTCTGTGACCTCGGCTTTAGTGTCCTAAACGCCGCCGTTTTGTGAAATGGATTTCACTTTCTTGTGGTCTTTCATCAAAACTCATGAGTCATGCCATTAGTTTTCTTTGTTGATGTCTGGAGTGAAGGCAGCCGTCGAGGGCCGGGGTTTCAACGAATGCCACAACTTATTGCACGTCTCAGGGCTTAGACTTCGGGTACTTTTATGGGATCCAAAGTAGAGCTGGTATTCAATAAACAGATAAATTTGAGTTCATATCCAAAGGCAACCGAAAGACCAGTGGAATGGCAGTCATGTGCTGTCAAGTGATGTCCTATCGATAGTCAGACAATTGAGAGTCAAAGTGAGGGGTTGTCTGTCATTCGCGGCCACTGTTTGTGATGGAAATGGAGGCTCAGGTGAGGGACAGCGAGTGATACCTGCGGTGGGATTGAAGACATGATCTGTTGATTCTGTGACTCACCT